CCCAGAGTTTCCTCCTCTCCTCTCTCTCTCTCTCTCTCTCTCTCCAGCCAAGGTCCTTCTCTGTGGAAGTGACTCCTCCACTCTTAAACTGAGCCTTTGCCCTCAGGTGTTGCTGCTCTTTTGTGCCACCACCAGGAACTGGGCCAATGTGCAAATCCAGTTAGGGCATTGGAAGCTCATGTACAGATAACCTGCAACCGTGGGTGTAGCCATGATTGTTGTTTTTTGGGGGGAGGCCTTTTGTTAGGGGGCAGAACCTCAGTTTGCTTTGTATTTCAATTGATTTTATCAGTTGGGGCAGCTGTCCAACCCTCCCCCACGGCTGTGCCCATTCTTACAACCTATTTGATTGGTCCTTTTTTGAAGCATTTTTTCCTTCAGAAAAACAAGATGCAGAGAATTCCCACTATCAAACGTTGTTGATACCGTATTTTTTGCTCCATAAGGCGCACCGGACCATAAGGCGCACCTAGGTTTTAGAGGGGGAAATCAAGGGGGGGAAATCTTATTTCCCCCCCCCAGCCCCAAAGAGCAAAGAAGAGCAAGGCAGTGAGCGGGATCCATGCGCTTGCTGTCTTGCCTTCTGCCATAGCCGTGCGCAGTCTAACCCGGTCGGAGGGGCTGCGCGCGGTTATGGCAATACCCCCACCTCCCGCAAAGGCCCACAGGAGCCGCGCGGAGCTTGTGTGCGGCTCTTGGGGGCTTTTCCTGCCTGCCCCCCCCTGCATTCGCTCCATATGATGCACACACATTTCCCCTTACTTTTTAGGAGGGGAAAAGTGCGTCTTATGGAGCGAAAAATACGGTAATTAACATGAAGAGCCTGCCATTTGCAGTTTTGCATTTAAGCACAAAAATAGAAATCAGAGTATTGGATTTCACATTTTACATGGGATGATTATTGAAAGTGGGGAGAAGACAGCCTCTTAACTCTCCCCCTGCCCCCTCCGCCCCATAATTCTTTGAGGCGAGTCTTAAACCCAAAGCTGCTCCGACGAATGACTTGTTTTAAAAGTTCCTATTTCGAGGGAACCCAAATGTCACAATCTCCATTTCTGCCTTGAAGCAAAAAACAGGGTTGGGGGAGGGGTAAAGCAGAATTGCTGCTGCTGCTTGGGGGGGTCTATAGTGTTGTCGTTCTGGGGACTTTCCTGGAGGGGAGGCTTGATGGGAGCCAATCACAGGTCCCAACACTGCTTGGTCATCAGTTGCTGGGCAGGAAACGCTCTTGCCAAACCCCTTAGAGTGCAGCACTTGCTGGTCCAGATGTGGAGAGTCAGCCCTGCAGCCTTGAGGGGCCTCCTGCTCCTTCTGCCAACTGGGGCGCTAGCCTTCTGCCCCCAAGTCTTGCCCTGGCGGCACTCCTGCCCTGCCCCTCTGCCAAACTCTGCCTTCTGTCTCTCTGCATTAATTGACCCCCCCCCCCGTAATTTGGATCCCCCTCATTTGAGATCCAGAAGAAGGTATGAGAAGAAGGACGCCTCTCCCAAACCCCACTCAGTGGTGTCATTTACCTTCTGGAGACTCTTGCAAGGGGGGGGGAGAGAAAGAGTTCAACAACTCCTTGCATTAATTTATCTTAATGAGGCACACAAAAATCGGGGCAAGACAGGGAGGTACCAGCAAAGAGTGAATCCTTCTCTGAGGCTTTTAAGGCATGTTCCAGGCAACACAGTCAACTCATGATGGAGGTCTGGCCAGGCTGACTGGGTCACATCCTGACCTTGCATGTCCTGAAACACACCCCTCTCTAGTGTGTTGTTGCCCCTGGAAGAAGACCTTCATTCATCCACCCTGAATTTGGAGGGGGGCTCTGCACATTTCCTCCCCTCCCCCCATCACACACTCCAGTCTCAGGAAGAGCAGGTGCTTTGATCTGGTGAGGCATTTCAGGACAGGGGGTGAGTTGTTTTGTTCCTCTCCTCTGTTCCCCCAGAGGGGGAATCCACGGGTCCTGTGGAATAATGCTTTGGGGCATCACACAACCCACAGCAGGCCTTGAAGACCAGAAGAGTCCTGTTGCATCATGAGGCTGATTAGGGTCCCCTGCCCCAGCATCCTGTTCCCAGGAGGGGACAGACAGGCAGACCAGGGCAAAGGCAGGGAGGCACCAGCGCTGGCTCTCCTGATCTCTTATCATCTCCTGGAATCTGGGCCTAGAGACATGAGGAGTCAGTGTAGCCACTCTGGTTGCAATGCTACCCATTTCCTCAATAGTTCACCTTTTCATTTTGAAATAATAAATATATCCAGAGCTTGTAGGCAGAGAAAAAAGCACTAGAAACAAATCAACAAACTGTAAGATTTATTCATAGTTTTTGGAAATACGGAGCACGTATGAAAAACAGCAACTGGGCTGCACAGAAGCCATTGGGAAAGTTTTGCAGAAGAAGAAGGGATATTTTCCTCTTCACAGACAGATACAACCCTGCTTTATGTGGACAAGAAAGGTGTTTGGGGTCTCTTAGCAGCTAAACTTCCCCAACAATATGGATCTTTGGGATTAAGGCAACACCTGAGGGGTGTATTCCTGCAGTGCAATGCACGGAACTGAGTAAGGCTCTCTCCAAAAACTGGAGAGGGAGGTGAATGGTTTTGGGTAAGTGGGGTGGAGATATGAATTAGTACGCCTGACACTCTGTTGGCAGGGGGTCTCCTTGAGCCATGCAGATGGAAGGCCAGGCAAAGCAGGAAACCCCACAAAAACTATCCTGACTCAACCATGGAGTTTGGGGAGGATCGGCAGCCAAACCACAAGCAGAGGCTGGATGCCCCTCTGTCAGAGATGATTTAGGTGAGATTCCTGCAATGCAGGGGGCTGGACTACATGACCCTAGGGTCCCTTCCAACTCTACAATTCTATGATTCTATAAAATGCACGATTACTAGACAGCCAGAAGCAAAGGCACCAGGGAGTTTCAGAACCTGCATAGAGGGAGCTGTAAATGTTGCACCATGGCAAGACATTTAATGTGAGTAAACCATATACTTTTCTTATTTACTTAAACCGTCAGAGCAATTTCTTTGCTAAGAGGGAAACAGAAAAGGGAGAAAAGTAATGTAAGTCTGCCTAAGCATCTTTGGCTATCATAATTGTTCTTAAAAGTCAAACATATTATCCGAAAAGCTTCTAAGGATAAGCTGCACACGGAGGAAGCAACTCCTTCCAGCTGATTCATAGCAGAAGAGACTCTTGGCAAAGGAGCTGAGCTGAGAGGGTTCAAGGAAGAGGCTGTCAGGAAAGGAATCCTCCATTATCTGAAAAGGAAGGAGAAGGGAGCTGGTGAGCTGGGAGTATTGAGGCTGAGCACCTTCTGGGCAGGATGAGGCCCACCCCACCCCTTTGCTGTGTATTTTGGCTTCCCTTGCATTTGTCTCTGAGCCCCTGAAGGGAAACGAGTTCGACTCACATGAAGCCCCTGCGATCGTTCATCCTCATGGCCTTGAAGAAAAGGATGGTGCCAGCGATGATGCCCAGGATGCCAAAGGCCAAGCCCAGGGCACACAGCACGTTCTCCATCGTCTCCGGGATGGGAGAGGGCGCCTTGGAAACTGGGATGGAGAGAGAGGGGACAGGGCTAAGGGGGGACTCTGTTTCTCTGTGTGTGTTCAGCGGAAGAAAGAACCCAGGAGTCCTGACACACCCACCACACACGCCTTAATAAACACTTAGAAGTTAAACTGAGAGAAACTACCTCAAGGAACCCCGCAAAGGCAGCTGAGCACCTTTTTGTCTCCCATGGCTAGAAGGAGCAGAATAAATTATTCAAAACTGCAAGTGTACTTCACTTGCATAAATTACTCTGATCATCAGAACATGTTTCTTATAAGCCATGAATCTGGATTTCTGAGTTCAAGTCCCAGAGAAAAGCCCCAATCCTGCCCGGTGCTTACCCCAGATCTTCTCCATCTTTCCCTCTGGGATGCCCCAGTGCTCCACCTGGCAGACGTAGATGTCTCCCTGCTCAGGGACGAAGGGGAGGTAGGAGAACTTGCGGAAAGTGTTGTCCACGCTGGGGTAGAAGTCTGTCTCCTCCACGCCCTCGGAGACCACCTCGTTGTTCTTCAGCCAGGTGACGTTCAGCACTGGGGGGGAGAACCTGTCCACAAAGCAGATGAGGACGTTGGGGTCCCCCAGTTCCACGGCGTTTTCCGGGTACACAGTGGCCGAAGGAGCAACTGAGGAAGGAGATGGAGAAAGAAATGGGATTAAAACCCATTTGAAGCAGTCTAGAAATGGAAAGCATAGCAATTAGCTGCTGTGGGTATTTTTGCACCGGGTGTTCAGGTTTGGGAATGCCTCTGAGCTTGTACAGAGTGCAATGCTGCTCCTCCCACCCAGGTTTCCCTTCCCTTTTAGCCTGTCTCAGTCAGCCAAGGACTGGCTCCCTGGAGCAGAGTTCCCTCTGGGGAGGCAGAAAGGGGTCCTGAAGGGTCTTCCGTGTCAGAAGCCAAGAGACCACCCCCTGCCTGCCCCCCAGCTCTCTCCCCTGCCCCCCTCGCGTGTCCTACCGTTCAGGGCACGGGTGCGGTTGCTTCGCTTCATGAGCACCTCCATGTTGTTCTTCATGACGGCGATGTTGGCCAGGGCGCCCTGCACCTCGAAGCTGGTGAAGCGCTGGAAGTCCGGCAGCCTCCAGACGTTCTGCTTCTTCTCCCAGTCCACGTGCAGGATCTCCTCGTTGTCAAACTCCAGCAGGAACTCCCCGGACTTCTTCTCCGAAGGGAAGCTCTCCTGGAAGAAGTCCAGCTCCACCAGGGTGTCCTCCACTGCAGGGGTGGGAAGGAGAGAGGGCGGCTTTAGGACCCCGCAGCAGGATGAGGGAGAACCTGCCACATTGCTCGGAATGGGGCCACCACCAGGAAGGCTCTCTAAGAAGACGGGGGGGGGGCTTCATCTGCTCCCAAACACACAGACTTTAAAATTCTCTCCTTTCACAGCCATAACAGCCCCCAAAGGTGATCCTGGGGGGCATTTGTGTGTGGGGTGACTCTGGCAGATCGAAAGTTGGAGGAATCCTTCGAGAGACCAATCCATGACTCCTCACAGGGTTTGTTGTGAATATAGCAAGGATGTAACTCTGCCCTGAGCTCCTTGCCCCAAAGTGAAACCAAGAATTCAAGGATTTCCTCAGCGTTTATAAGGGTTCTACTCAGAGATTTTTTAAGGGTCCACCGAAGTTTCTGGCCCCTTTTGTGTTGCTGGGGAGGAGAGAGACCGCTCTGTCTTGGGGGGGGGCATTAGGTGGGGGGCTGATGCCTTTTGGGGATGACCACTGGGGGCTTCTGAACTAGGCAGGTCTCTGTGGCAGCCTAGTCAAGGAGAAAGAACAATTCTTCTTTTATCTCCCTTTCCCTCCTTCCAACAGGAAAGGCTAGAGGCACAAATCCCGAACTTCGAAGCAAGGCAGTGGGTGGGGTGGGGGGGTGCTCTTTGCACCCAGTCCTTCCCCCTCTTTTTTTTTTAACCCCTGGACCAGCTTAGTTGAGGGTTCAGATCCTCTCTCCCCTCCCTCGTGTTTTGGGGGCGTCCAATTTCCTTCCTCCGGACCAGGCAGATCTTTGTGGCAGCCGAGCTCAGAGAGAGGAATAATAATTCTTGTTTTATTTCTCTTTCCCTCCTTGTAACAGGAAAGGCTAGGGGGAAATGCTGTTTTCACCCCATTTCCCCCTTCATTTTTTAAAAACAAAACCTAGACCACCTTATTTGAGGGAGCAAATCCTCCATGCCCGTCATTCCACGCACCTCCCAGCACTCTTTGGGGGGACGTCCAATTCCCTTCCTCCCCCCATCCCTCCGTATTCCCGGGTAAAGCTTCTGCACCTGTCAGGGAGAGGGGGCTTCTCCTCCCTGTAGCCGAAGAGACCCCTCCTCCTTTGCCTACAAGCAACGCCCAGGGGCACAATCCTTCTCCCCATATCCCCCCAGCCCCCCTCCCCAGACATTTCCCCCTCCCTCCTGCGCCCCCTGACCTTTCAGGGCTCCGGCCCCCCTTGGCGGGGCGAGGAGGAGGAGGGTCGCCCAGAGGCAGCAAAGGGCTCTTCCTCCTCCTCTTCCTCTTCCTCTTCTGGGCTCCATCTCTGCAGCTCTTCCTGGGCCGAGGCGGGCGAGGGGCGATTCAAGCCCAAGTGTCCCTTGCCCCTTCCTCCTGGATGCTCGCCCTCCAAGTGAATGTTGGGCGGGGGCGGCCAGGGGGCGGCTTTGGCGGAGCAGAAAAGTCCCTGCCAGCTCGGCCAATGAGAAAGCGCCCTGGCGGTGACCAGCCTGTCTCCAGGTAAACCATCCCCAGGCAGGAGCCTCAGCCGGAGACGGAGCGAAAAGAGCAGCAGGAAAAGGGCAGCGAATATTTGGGGGGGGGGCTGGATCTCCCCAAGAGGGGAGGAGTCTCCTCCAGGGAAGGGGCTGCGGGGGCTCCTCTCTGTCTCTCCCCCCCCCGTGTGTTTCTCCATGGGGCTCCTCAGACACCAGCACCAGGGATGTTTCTTGCAAAGGGGAGCTGGGAGCTGGAGGGGGCTTTTATTGGGGGGAGGGGTCTCCTTATTGGGGGGCTGCCAGGTCTCCTCGGGATGCAGGCTGGGGGGCCAAGAGGGGCAGCCCCCCTCCCTCCCCAGACAGTTATTCCCCCCTTGAAACTTCCGTCCTCTTTCCGGATACAAGAAGGAACGAAGGGTTAGCGGCTTAAAACGCAGCAGAAGAAAAGCGCATCTCGCTGTTTAGCAGCCTGAGTGTGAAATTTCCTTTTTTGTTGCCAGAGTAAACTTTTGGATGGAAGTGACAGATTTTTGTTAAGCTTTATATTCCTCCCAAAAAAAAGGTTTTCCGGGGAGGATATTTATTCACACGCGACGCAACAACGATGGAGACATCAGAAGCAACTGAGAAGGCAAAGAGAAACTTGCAGATCGAGCGAGAGCAGAGAGAGCCCTTGATAATGCTCTTTCCAGCAGTTCCCTGCCTGGCGACCGATGACGCTGCCTCGGCTCGGAGGCGGATTGGACGCTCGCGGGGCGGAGAGGTGGAGTGGGCGGGGCCTGCAGGAGTTTCCCCCGGAGCTGAGCGGAGAAAGTCCCATTTGGGGGCGAAGAAGAGAGAAGGATGGGGGGCTCCGGCGCTGCGCCTTTGGCCTTTGGGGGGCTCCTGCTGAGGATGCTGGTGGTCTCCGCTTCGGAGGGGCTGGGCGTGGAGGCGCCTCCAGGTGAGCAAAGATGCTGCAATGGGGGAGAAGGAAGAGGAAACTCCGCTTAGCGGAACCCCCATCGGTGGGGCTCCTTTGAGGATCCCTCGTAGATGGTCTTCCACGATCTGAACAGGGAGTCCGTAAGTGACTGTGGAGGCCAATTCTGGATCCCCACGTCCTTCCACAGGGGGGGGACAGAGGTTTCCAGGTGGGAGTTGACCACGGTGAGGGTTTGCCAGGCGTGTCTTCCTCTCAGCACGTTTCTGCCTTGTGTCTTGAGTTTGAGTGTCTTCAAAGCCCAGGACGCCTTTGGTAAAGGCTGTTCTGCAATTGGAGCGCTTGCAGGCCAGTGTTTCCCAGTTGGTGGTGTTTATACTACATTTTAAAAGATTTTTCTTGGAAGAGTCTTTAAATTTCTTTTGTTGACCCACCAGCATTACGCTTTCCATTTTTAAGTTCAGAATAGAGTAGTTGCGTTGGAGGATGATAATCTGGCATCCGAACAACATGGTTTAGTTCAGCGAAGTTGATGTTGAAGAATCCTTGCTTCCCCATGGGGGATCTTTGCTTCTTCTAGGACTGGGGGGGGTGGCAAAGGGGCAGGAGGGAAGGGGAAATACTCCCCCCACTGGAAAAGAGCAGCTCAGGCTTCTTGGACTGGGAAGGAGAGAACATTTATTTATTGCTATTAATTATATCCCACCTTTCAGGATTAAAATCCTACCCCAGCAGCTTACAAGTAACATTCAATTGAATTTTAATAGAACTACAATATTCACACATTAAATAGTCTTCCTTCAGGACACCTGGTGGCAGGCAGCCCTAGGGGATTTGGGGGGGGCGCCGGGGGGGGGCAGCTGAATTCGGCCGTGAGCGCTTCTTCACCTGCCTCTCAAAATCATCCTCATCATTATTAGTCCATTTATCTCCCATCATTTCCAAGAGATCTCGTAACCGATTACAGTATTAACTCTATAAAGGACTCCACATAACGCATAAATATACCTTTCTTCTGCTCTTTCTCAATAGTAAGAAACCCAGGCAAGTGCGTAGCCAGGATTTTTGTTAGGGAGGGGCTGACCTTTTGTTAGGAGGGGGAAACCTCAGTTTCCTATGTATTTTTATTGATTTTTATTGATGGGGGCAGCTGCCCATCCCTGTCCCCCTTGGCGAGGCCCATGAAAGAAGCAGCGAACTGGGGCAAATGGCTCCCTGCTCCGGGGAACCTGAACTCCCCCCCCCCGTGGCAGGTCCCCTCCCCCCCACATGCCTTGGGGTCCTCTGGGTGCTGAAATTGGTTCCTACCTTCCTGCGCTCTGGCAGGGAAAGTGAAAGTGAAACTGGGTCTCCCGCAGCGGGAGAGGGGGTCTTGTGGGAGGGAGGGGCAGTGAACCCCATTCAGAGCAGAAAAGCGCCTCCCACCCTCCTTGGCATCTCATCCATTTCCTGGTCTCTCTGCAACCCCCAACATTTCCTCTTTCAGCCGGAGGGCAATAAAATGGGGGAGGGAGGAATTGAAAGCTTTTGCAGATGACCTAGTTTTGACGTTACAGGAGCCAGAATCTAGTACGAAAAGAGTATTAGAACTGATTCAAGAATTTGGTCATGTGGCAGGATTTAAGCTGAACAAGTAAAAAACTAAAGTTCTTGAGAAAAATTTAACACCGATTGAGAAAGAGAGGTTTCAGAAGGAGACAGGTTTAACATTAGTTAAGAAAGTAAAATATCTGGGGGTTAATATGACTGCTAAGAACTTAAATTTATTTAAAGATAACTATGAGAAATGTTGGACAGAAGTGAAAAAAGATTTAGAAATATGGTCAAATTTGAAGCTTTCCTTGTTGGGTCGAATTGCAGCTATAAAGATGAATGTATTGCCTAAAATGTTATTTCTGTTTCAATCATTGCAAATTTTGGACAAGATGGACTGTTTCAAGAAGTGGCAGAGAGACATTTCTAGATTTGTCTGGCAGGGCAAGAAGCCCAGAATAAAATTTAAAATATTAACTGATGCAAAGGAAAGAGGCGGATTTGCCCTGCCAGACCTTAAACTTTACTATGAATCAGCAGCATTCTGCTGGTTGAAAGACTGGCTGCTTCTTGAGAACACAGACATTTTGGATTTGGAAGGTTTTAATAATGTTTTTGGGTGGCATGCATATTTGTGGTACGACAAGGTTAAAGCACATAAAGCATTTAAAAACCATATTGTCAGCAAAGTATTGTTCAATGTCTGGATAAGATACAAAGACTTGGACTTCCGGGTTAGCGCGATCGGCTAATGGCGGATTCCCTCCGAGCTCCGGAGGGAATCTGCTCGACAGGGGCTGGGTCTTGCCGTGCCGGCGACACGGGGACCCTTAAAAACCACGGGCGCGGATGCCCGTGGACGTGGTGACTCGGCGGGCACCGTTAGCGCCCTCCCGACCTGCGAAGGAGCCTTTTTAAAGGCTACGGAACGGGTGACGGGGAGTGGCGTGGTGCTGTGAGTCCTCTGCTTCCCCTGCCGAGTGAAGCCGCATGCCATTTGTCAGAGAGCGCTGACTTCTTCCTTCTAAAATTTGGACTTAAAATCAAGAACAACAACCCGTGAGTAATTTGGAAACTGGACTTAAATTATTTCGTTTACGGATTTGGCACGAGCGGGGGAGGTGAAAAGAGGAAGTCCGTCTCCCCCCCCATTGTAAACAGTTTAAAGCAAGGATCTGCCAACTAAGGTTGTGAGAAGAGCTGTTTTTTTTCCTTCGTGATTGGACAAAAATTATTAATTCCACGGATTTAAAAGTCTAAGTTATTGTGCTGGAGGACAAGAGTTTATTTGTTTTGACCAAGTACCACTTTTCTCGAGACCGGGAGTAACCCATGAAAAGAGCCTGTTGAGGATTTATAGGAAACTTTTGACAGCTGTCAAATCAGCTGTCAAAGTCCGGAAAAACTGAAAGCTTTAGCTTTAGCCGGTTATATTGCTACAAAGTACTGAAAGCAAAGAAAGATTGATACAAATAAATTTGACTTTTGGGTCGGAAGGGAAAGGAATATTAAGTAACCAGAATCCCTCTAGAGGGGATTCACGGACATTACAAGAATGGAAATAGGTCGGAAAATACGAGCTGATCTGCAAGAGCTTGTCTTGGGAAAGCTCATGGGAAAGCTGCGAAAGATGTATGAGCAAGGCCATGTTTTGTCTACAAGTCCTACAAAACCGAAGTCAACAGAAAATATATCTACTGAGTTGGAAAAGGACTTGATGTTCAAAACACAGGCAGCTGGACAAGAAAAGAAATCAAAGATTGAAGAGGAGGAAAAGATACTTGCTGAACAGGAGGAGCAGAAAGGAGGGGTGGCCGAAATGCTACAGAAGACAAATGAGAGCCGGGGACCTGTCAAGACGACTTCAAGCTCGACCAAGGTGAAAGCTGGACTATTTGGGACATATGGATTTAAGAAACAGAGCTGGAGCTCCACCTTTAAACAAGTAGGCCTGGCTGGAAGAATCATGGCCAGTATTGAGAAAGTACCTTTTCGAGTATGGGTGTTAAACATAAGAGACCTCCGAAGAAGCCGGCTGAAAGGGACTGAGAGGGATTTGAGAGCCTCGGACGTAAGGTCACCAGGCTAAAAAGATGGACTAATGGCTTTTGGTTTGGGATTGAAACCGGGGAGAGAAGGGTAGGGTTTGGAAGTCCAAAGGGGGCCTGATCTTTATTTTGCAGTGTAAAAATGTTATGTTGTTTATTATTATAAGAATGGGGAATTCGTGGATGGGAACTAGGGTCAACCTTAGGAAAAGTATTTTCTTTCTCGTTCTTTTTTTCTCTACATATGACTAAGGTATATAATTTAAAAGTTACTGAATAAACTGAACTAAATACAATAATGAACTAAGGGTTAAACCGATTGCAAAGAAGTATATTAACAAATTATGATTAAGACACTAAGGATAAAAACTTGCTGAACAAATAATTGGAGCTGGAATACAAGAAGGGGAGGTGTGGGGAAGTCATGAAAAGAAGTTACTGAAAATGAGACTTAAAAGGTGGAACCTTTTTTTTGTTTTGTGTGTTTTTCTTTGTTTTCTGTTTTGTTCTTTGTACCTTTTGAAACTTTAATAAATATTATTTTTTTTTAAAAAAAGATAAGATACAAAGACTTATTGGAAAATAAAACCCCAAGGTGGTTGTCACCAATGGAAGCGAAGGCTCAGAAAAAGCTCAATATGGAGGCCAAATGGCCGAAATATTGGAACAAGAAGGAGAGAAATTGAAATTGCAGAGTTTTGAGAAATTAAAAGATAAAGTGCGAGACTGGCTTCATTATTATCAAATAAGAGAGGCCTATAATTTGGACAAGAAAATTGGCTTCCAGGTGGAAAAATCAAAATTGGAAACAGAACTGTTAGATCCCAAAACTAAGATAACTTGCTGTTAAAATGGAACACGCAGGATGAAACGGTTAAATCTGTAATGATTAAATGGGCACAAGTTATTGGTCATAACATTATGTTTGCTGACTGGGAACAGTTGTGGACCACCGGTATGAAATTTACGGCATGTAATGCCATAAGAAGAATTTATGCTTTTGAATTATGGTGCTGGAGAAGACTCTTGAGAGTCCCATGGACTGCAAGAAGATCAAACACATCCATTCTTAAGGAAATCAGCCCTGAGTGCTCACTGGAAGGACAGATCCTGAAGCTGAGGCTCCAATACTTTGGCCACCTCATGAGAAGAGAAGACTCCCTGGAGAAGACACTGATGCTGGGAAAGATGGAGGGCACAAGGAGAAGGGGACAACAGAGGATGAGATGGTTGGATAGTGTTTTTGAGGTTACCAGCATGAGTTTGACCAAACTGCGGGAGGTAGTGGAGGACAGAGGTGCCTGGCGTGCTCTGGTAGAATCATAGAATCATAGAATCATAGAGTTGGAAGAGACCACAAGGGCCATCGAGTCCAACCCCCTGCCAAGCAGGAAACAAGATGAAGTTGCATTGGCCGGGAATTGAACCTGGGCCTCCCGCGTGGCAGGCGAGAATTCTACCACTGAACCACCAATGGTCCATGGGGTCACGAAGAGTCGGACACGACTAAACGACTAAACAACAACAACAACAATGCCTTAAGAGAGAATATTATGAAAATGATATATAGGTGGTACATGACACCAGTCAAGCTTGCAAAAATATATCATTAGCCTGATAATAAGTGTTGGAAATGTAAAGAAAATGAAGGTACATTCTTTCACCTTTGGTGGATGTGCCCAAAGATTAAGGCTTTCTGGGAGATGATCTATAATGAAATGAAAAAGGTATTTAAATATACCTTCCTGAAGAAACCAGAGGCCTTTCTCCTGGGCATGGTCGGCCAATTGGTGCTAAAGAAGGACAGAACTTTCTTTATGTATGCCACAACAGCAGCAAGAATACTCATCACAAAGTATTGGAAGACACAAGATCTACCCACCTTGGAAGAATGGCAGATGAAAGTGATAGGCTATATGGAATTGGCGGAAATGACTGGCAGAATCCGAGACCAGGGAGAAGAGTTGGTGGAAGAAGATTGGAAGAAGTTTAAAGACTATTTGCAGAAACATTGTAAAATTAATGAATGCTAAAATGATGTTGGATTGAAATGAAGTGGCTTTAGCAATAAGGTTAAAAAGAATGTGTAAAAATGGACTGATAATTAGATGAAAATATAAAGTTATAATATGTTAAGATATAGAATTAAGATAAATACAAAGAGGGAAACGATTTGCTGAATTAACTATGTGAATTGGAATACAAAAAAGGGAGGTGTGAGGAGGTCAGGAAACAAGTAATTGAAATATAAGATACGAAAAGATTGATTTGTTTTTTAATTGTTTTTAATTTCCTCATGTATTTTGTATTTTTCTTTGCATTTTTGTATCTTTTTTCTTTTTCTTTTTCTTTTCTTATTCTGTAATTCTCTTTTGTCTGTAAAATTTCAATAATTTTTTTAAAAAAAAATAAATAAAAATAAAATAAAATGGGGGAGGGAGGGTTACTTTTTTTCAAAAACCTGGAGATAAGCATGGGCAGCATCGGGGGCAGGGAGCAGCCACCCCCATTAAATAAATAAATAAATAAATAAATAAATAAATAAATAAATAAATGCAGATAGCTCAGTTCACCCCCCCCCATATATCCTGGCTACACCAATGGGGTTCAGGGCCTTGGAGGTTGTGCCTCCCCCCAAAAAAGGGGCCTTCCTGCCGCTCTCTCCCTTTCTTTTGGAAGGAGGCGAAAGGAGGGTCTCCCTGCTCATCCCCCCCGCCATGGGATCATGTGACAGGAGAGAGAGAAAGAGGGGGGGAAATGTGAGAGAGACAGACCATCTCTCTCCTGCCCGGCAGGGACAACTATCTGCTTTCGTGGGAGGTGCGCCCTTAAGGCAACTGGAAACTGGAAGTCTCCACCCCACAATTTCATTCTCCCCCCTCCCCCCCAGAGCATTTCCTGTTCCAGTTGAAGGCCGAGTGCCACTTCTCCAATGGGACGCAGCGGATCCGCTACCTACATAGGGAGTTTTTCGACCGTCAGGAGCTCTACTACTTCGACAGCGACCAAGGGAAGTTCATGGCGGTGGCTGAAATGGCGGAGTCCGAAGTCAAGAGATGGAACCAGGACAAGAGAGACCTGCGGAGATACATGGCCGCCGTGGATGTCTTCTGCCAGCGCGACTACGGAATCTACGAGCCCTTCGCCCAGGCCCGGCGTGGTGAGTCCAGAATTGGGGAGGGAGGCGTCATGTTGTAACACAGCATTCGCCCTCTCCGCTTGCCCGTTGGTCTCAGGGTGCCTTGCCGTTGTAAAGCTCACTTCCACCTGGAGCAGCCCCATGAGCTTGCGCCAAAATCGTGAGGTAAATTGAGCCCCCTGGTCTGAGACCACCCTTGCAGGTATCCCATGTAACCTAAACACGTGCTCTACGAACAGCCTAGCTGTTTCTTCCGCTGTTACGTCGTGCGAACAGGACACAAAATGACACATTTTGGTCAAGAGATCAACCACCACCATGACCGCTGTCTTACCCCTACATCTGGGCAGATCAGTAATAAAGTCCACGGCCACCACCTCCCACGGTTTCCCAGGTGTGGGCAATGGTTCCAGAAACCCCGCTGGTGCCACCCTTTCCCTTTTGGCCCTCTGACATGTGTCACATCCTCGCACATATTCCTTTACATCCTCTCTCACCCTTGGCCACCAAAATTCCCGTGTGACCAGCAGCATTGTCTTATGCTGTCCAAAATGCCCCGCCGTACAACTGTCATGGAGTTCCTTGAGGATTTGTCCCCGAAGGTCTTCTCCTGGAACATACAAGGCCCCTTTGTGGTACAGTAACCCCCATTTACCTCAAACCCCCCCCTCGGCACCCCCTCTTTCTCTTAACTCCCCCATCTTTTGTCTGGCAAAGGCATCATCTCTGAGCATTTGCATCAGTTCGTCGTCCTTGACTAACGTCCCCCTGCACAACCATTTGCTCTCCAGGAACATCAGTCTTGCTACAGGTGGCCCTTCCCCCATCATATACTCGGGTTTCCGGGAGAGCGCATCTGCCCTAGCATTCTGCTCTCCCGGCACGTATTGGATCTTGAAGTTGAAGTTGGCAAAGAACTCTGCCCATCTTATCTGTCTCTGGCACAACACCCGTGCCGTACGCCAATACTCCAAGTTTTTGTGGTCAGTGCACACCAAAATTTGGTGCTTTGCCCCAACCAGGAAGTGCCGCCATTGTTTAAAAGCAGCCACTATCGAAAGCAATTCCTTATCGTAGATGGTGTAGTTCTGCTCTGATTTGTTGAGTTTCCGCGAAAAGAAGGCACACGGACGCCATTCCCCTTTTTGATCTGGTTGCAGCAGCACCGCCCCAATCGCCCAATCCGACGCATCTGTTTCCACCCGTAGTGGTTGAGCAGGGTCGACGTGGATCAGTTGCTCCTCTGAAGCGAAAGCCCTCTTTAGTTTCTCAAACCCCTCTTGGGCCGCCTGCGTCCACTGAAACTTCTTCTTAACACTGAGACAGTCCGGGATTGGCGCCGTCAATTCTGCGAAATTCTTTATGAATTTCCTGTAGAAATTGCTAAAACCCAGGAAACGCTGAACATCTTTCCTGGTTTGGGGACTCTCCCATTCCACCACTGCCTTCACTTTCCCCGGGTCCATGGCCAACCCCTGGTCCAACAGCCGGTACCCCAGGAATTTGACTTCCTTTGCGTGGAACTGACATTTCTCCAGCTTGACCCACAAGCGGTTCTCCTTGAGCTTGCTCAGGACCTGCCGTACATCCTTCACGTGCTGTTGTTCGTCCTCCGAGTACACAAGTAGATCGTCTAAAAAGCAAACGCAGTTTTTGTAGAGCAAAGGTCCTAGCACGTGGTGCATGAAGGCTTGGAAACAGTGACTTCCGCACTGCAAACCGAAGGGCATAACTAAATACTCAAACGCCCCTATCGGGGTGAACATGGTGGTCTTCCACTCATCGCCTTCTCGTACTCGGATAAGGTTGTAAGCCCCTCGGAGATCCAGTTTGGTGAAAATCTTCCCCTTCCGCACCCGTGCCAAAACGTCGTCGATTCTCGGCATCAGGAAAGCCACCGGTTCCGTCTGGCTGTTCAAAATTCGAAAGTCCACCACCAGGCGTCGCTCTTTCGTCGATCTCTTGTCGACGAAAAACACGGGACTCCCTCCTGCTGCCTTGGACTCCCTGATGAAACCCCTTCTCAGGTTTTTCTCAATAAACTCTTTTAGGTCCTTAAGCTCTCCCTCTGACATGGAATAGGTTTTCCCCACCGGCAACGTTGCCCCCGGTACCAGGTTGATCTGACAGTCATATGGCCGATGGGGTGGTAATGCATCTGCCTCTTTCTCGCTGAACACCTCCTGGCGATCCCGGTAACACAATGGAATCTTGCTCACCCCCGCTCTGCATGCTGCTGCCCTCCTGCCCTCGCTTTGTCGATCTAGCCCTTGAGCTAGGCAGTTCTCCATGCAGTGCGTCGAGCCAAACGTCAGGGACCGTTGGTGCCAGGAAACCATCGGATTGTGCAAAGCCAACCAGCTCATGCCCAATATGATAGGCGGCCCCGCCAGTGTGGCCACATGAAAGGCGATGACCTCAGAGTGGGTGGCCACACGTATTCGCATTGGGGGTGTTCGATGCGTCACTTCACCCCCAGCAGTTCTCTTCCATCAATTGTTGTCACTTGCAGCGGAAAATCCAAAGGCCTCAGGTTCAGTTGGTGTTGCGCCACAAACTCCTTGCTGAAAAAGGATGCTGAGGCCCCAGAATCAATTAGCGCCAACTCCTCCACCGTCTGTCCATTTGGGAGTTCTAGCACCACCTTCAACATTATGCTTGAAAGCCGGGGCCTTTCTGTGTTGCTCCTGCCTGGCTGTTGCCCCGGTTCCCCACCAGCCAGGCCTCTTCATTTCCCGAATGCTGGGGCTCCTCTCCCTCTGCCTGCTGGGTGGCCCCCGTCATTCCCTGCCAGTTACGACACTCTGGACACACTCTGGCAAAGTGCCCAGTCTTTTCCCCGCTTGCCAGCCTTTTTTTCCCTTCCCGCCAGACCGTTGGGCTTTCAAACTCTCCCGCGCCCTGGCTGTGCCTATCTCCATAGGCTCCTGCGCTTGTTGACATTCTGAGGCAGCTGCAGGCATCTCAGGAATGCGGTCACCATGGAAACTCCACTCTCTGCCTTGCTTCCTTTCCCGCCATCTGGCTTCTTGTCTCAAACCCACCCCAAGAGCAGCCTTTGTTAATTCGTCCATATTTTTAGGTCGTGGCCCCCTTGCCAGCTCATCCTTAACTTCTGTATTAAGTCCATTTTTAAATATCGCTTGTACTGGGTCCGCCTCTAAATCCCACCCCAGTTTCTGTACAAGCATAGCAAACTCAGACCAGTAACTGCATACCGTGGATTTGCCTTGTCTCAAAGCCAGCAGCTCCTCCTGCGTTCTGTCAATTAAACTCTGATCTGCATAGATAAAATCCATTGCTTGCCAAAATTGGCTTCATTTCTGAGGGCTTCATTCCCCGAGGCTATTAACGGCCTGATCCAGCTTCGAGCCCCTCCTCCCAGATGTCTAATGATGTGAGCAACCTTTGCTGCATCGTTCTGAAACTTATCTCCTTCCAGTTCCAGAAAATATCTCATCTCTGTTTTGAAATCCAAGTAACTTTCCGTGTCTCCCGGAACCGTTCCACCCACATGCACCTGCCCCCATCTGCCGATAGCCCACCTTGGGTTCCTCTCTGAGCAGTCCGGGCTTCCTCCAAACGGCTCTGCAGGTCTTGGGATCTTTGTTCCAGAGCGACATTTCGCTTTTTCAATTCCAACAGCTCCTTCTCCACGTTGAAGCTATTTCCTTATTCCACCAGCTTTCCAGCAGAAAAAAGTAGAAGAGAGGCAGCAAGCTGTCAGAGGCTCAATGCTGTCCAGCTGGCCATAGATAAGACTCCGGGCTCCCAGCCAGTTCCAAACAATTTGATTTATTTGACAAAGTTCAAACGTACATCTCCAGCATTTCAATTAGCGTCCTTCCCCTTGTGCGCAGTTGCTGCCTCTAATCTTTTTTCTTCCTTTTCCGCACCCAGCATGCAAGTCTGCGAAAACTCCTCCCCTTACTTCCTCTGTGCACAGAATGACTAGTTCCCGGCTCATCCTCCTCCCCCTCTACGTCAGACCCACTGTCAGACGAGAAGCTGCTGATAATCTCTTTAGGCTCTCTATAACTGCTGGTTTCTGTCCTTTCATCTTTTCCCATTTGCCTCTCCCTGACACAGGCCTTTGACCATTTTGGTTGCCCTCCTCTGGACACGTTCCATTTTGTCAGTGTCCTTCTTGAACTGTGGTGCCCAGAACTGGACACAGTACTCCAGGTGAGGTCTGACCAGAGCAGAATACAGTGGCACTATTACTTCCCTTGATCTAGATGCTATACTCCTATTGATGCAGCCCAGAATTGCATTGGCTTTTTTAGCTGCCGCATCACACTGTTGGCTCATGTCAAGTTTGTGGTCAACCAAGACTCCTAGATCCTTTTCACATGTACTGCTCTCAAGCCAGGTGTCACCCATCTTGTATTTGTGCCTCTCATTTTTTTTGCCCAAGTGCAATACTTTACATTTCTCCCTGTTAAAATTCATCTTGTTTGTTTTGGCCCAGTTCTCTAATCTGTCAAGGTCGTTTTGAAGTGTGATCCTGTCCTCTGGGACAGGATCCACAAGCCCAAAGCAATAGCGGTTGTCCACTGCAAAGCACATACAAAGGGGAGGGACCCAGTCTCCAAGGGTAACAGATGAGCTGACAGGGCAGCTCAAATGGCTGCAATACGCCCCCCCCCCTGGGAATGAAACTGAGTTTCAAGGCATACAGCTCCCCAAAGACATTGACTTTGAACGAATGTACCAATCAGCCACTGACGAGGAAAAGTCAATGTGCTACCAAAACAGATGGCGTCTGATTCCTCCCAGACGGCAGAGCTGTCATGCCAAGGATCTGGACTCCAAAATTTGTGAGGATCCTCCACCAACAGACTCATTGGGGAAAGGGGAAACTAATGGACTATGTCCTGAGGTTCTGGTATGCCCCAGGAACAGCCGCTGCAGCCACGGCGGCTTCAAAGAACTGCACAACATGCCAAAACTTCAACGCCAAATGTGAGCCTAAACAGCCCCCAGGAGCCAGACCCTGGGCTTTTGTCCCTTTTGAAAGT